TTTCCACCTAGGTGGCATTTCCTCCTCGCTAACATGCCAGCCTTCAGGAGAGGCAAGGCACAGTCTAAGATCAGGGTCCCAGCCCATGTTTCTCCAGGTGAGAAATGGCTGGGACTGGGACAGAGTTCTCAAACTTTTGTGAACTTTGCTGGGAACAGCAAAGAGTTGAGAACCATCCTGCTGTGTGCTCAGAAACTTTTGGGAATTTCAAGGAGTTGGGAATAGGGCTGCAGGTCTGCAAAGAGTCTAGGGAGGGAATTGGTGGGGTGAGGGTGCCTGGGGAGTGGGGGTGGAGAACCTCCTATGGGAGACTTAGGTGCAGCTCTGTATAATGAAGGTCTGTACCCCCAAAGTTCTTGATGTAAGAGACAGTTTTTGCTTGTCCAAACCGCTTTATTCATGGTGGATGAGGATGTGTAAGACTTACTCTGAGTGAATCAAAGATTAAATACCTTTTGCAGGAAGAGACGCTCAGGAAGGGAAGCTCATCAGCTAAACACTTGGGGTCTGTCTGGATTAGCATGGAGAACTCTAGATTCTATGCTACATGACTGGTTGTTATGGTCCTCTTAGTGGGGTGTCATGCTCACGTGCTCCAGGACAGGAACACGGTCCGTAGTTAGTTCTAACTCTTGCTATCCTCAGTTAAGAGTTCTATCAGGGTTCTAAACTTGCTACTACCTTACCAGTTCTGTCTGGTGCCACGGTCCACTGCCCAACATTACCCAAGCAGTATCGGCCCAGTGACTCACAAGCAGCTGTATCAGGTCCTATATCTGTATCGTCACAAACATACAACTACTTACTTAAAAACTCCTGAAAGACAAGATTTTACCACTACCAACAACTCCCACCTAGACAAAGGAACCAGACAGATCCTGGTTTAATTAGTCAAGCAAGGCTTAAGTGGCTATTTGAAGGTTCCTCGATAGACCCACCTCTTTCTGCACAGTTGAAATCTGTGTACTGAATAACTGAGATGGCTCGTGGGAGTGTAGTCATGTGATTAGATGGACTGCCAGTTTAAGATCCACTAGTATAAATGAGGTGAACAATTTTTTACATTGAAGTTATTGATCGGCATAATATTTCTTTGCCCCAACTCATTCTGTCAAGAGAGTCTTGCTCTGTTCTCCCTGAAAATGTCTCCTCTTTATGTCTTCCATTGAACTAACTTATTCAAGATGCACAGAGTTCAATGTAGGAGACAGGCAGAGGAGAGAAGTGTACACTCTTGGGACATGAAAAACGACAGTGGCCAGAGAGAATATTGCCCTGGTTTGCCCCTTAGGAAGGCTCTGTATTGTTTCTAAAATCCCTGGAACAAACACCTTTTCCAATGGCCTTTTTGTTTAAACGGTTGGCAGTCTGTCTGGTTTGGGTTTGAGGGTGTCGGGTGGAGTATGCCCTTGGTTTTTATCAGAAAGTCATCTGCTTTGTAGTAATTTTATAAACTTTAAAGCTTCTGGAATCAGGCTTAATCAGGCAGGCTGAAGAGGCAGTGTCTCTTCCCAGGGCCAGAGCTTCGATGTGTGTCTCTCCCATTCCTCTGATCAGACATTAGAGTCCTGTAGTTCCAGTTGTAGACACTGTTATAGGAGTCCAGCCCTAATGCCCTCTAATCTTGCAATATCTAACTGCCTCCCTAACTGCTCTTTCTATGGAAGCCCAGTCTGTTCAGTATTTGTGTTAGCCATTCAGCAGAAGCTAGGAAAATAATTTTGAAGTAGTTAGAGCGTTATCTAGCTGTACATTGCTTATTTTATTATAAATAATGAAACAGTGCTCGATAAATAGTTTTATAGTCATGTACCCAGAATTCTTAGCTCCATCCTGCAAGTTAGCCTGTCTCTGATATGGACTGTCCTAATCTGCTGATTTTTCAACCAGTTCTCTGAGGCCACCTGGGTAGTATTTAAGAACCCCTTGAGATGATGTCTTATGAAAGTTTTCATTACATCAAAAGGCAGACAAATTTTATATGCTCTCAATAAGACAGTACAGACTTTAAACAGCAAGACCACATTGGATGTTTGTCTCATCCTATATACTAGGACTATACTTTAATGACTAAAATTTGACTATTTTATATGCATTGAACACTTAAACATAAAATTCGTTCAACAGATAAAATTATTTACAGATAAGTGTTTATTTGTATATTTAGTTAGTTTTGTAGAAAGGATCTCATGATGTAGCCCACATGGGCCTTGAACTCTCAATCCTCCTGCCTCAGACTTAATGAGTGCTGGGAAGATGAACAAATATCACCATGCTTGGCCAAGTGGTTGAAGTATATTGTTTGTTGAGAGCCTTTGGTGCCACTTCTAGGAATTCGGCGTTTGTCACTGGGCTCAGACAAGTAGGCTCAGTTAAGAATATTAGAAAGAGTGGCCATGGGGCTTTGTTTACTACTTTGCTGTATTACTACCTTATGT